TGTTGGATTTGAACAAAACACACAAAGTTTGATTTGAGTGAATAATAAAATGATGTGTGTGTTTGTTAAATATGACTCACCTTGTGAGTGAGTGCGTCTCTTTTTGGCGTAAAGGATAAACACAGTGAGTAAGAGCAGGCTCAGCCCAGCAGCCCCACACACAGACAGCAGTACACCTGTGACAACACAAACATCACTGCAGCACAAGGAGGTGCACGCCTTTCAAACATCATCACAAGCATCATCATATGGAAAGTGTTTCAAGTACCAGAGGACACAGAGGAAGTGTGCTGCTGCTGCTCAGAGGGACTGGAGGAGCTCTCAGAGGAGCTCAGGGAGGAAGAGCTTAAACCTGGGGCAGAGCGGAGCAGAATATGGAGAATATTTCTACACTTGTAAATGTGTGGTCAAATCCAGAATGATGTGGGCTGCATGTGCCTCAGAGTGACAGAGTTTTACCAGCGGCTGCAGTGGTGCTGAGCTCCTGCTGCTCAGGACTGGAGGAGGTCTGAGTGTGGAGAGAGGGAACAACACCAGCAGGAACAGGAGGTGTGGACGGTGCTACAATCGGTACAGAATCAGTAAACAACAGAACATTGAAATCACTTCAAGTGTTAATTAAACTTACCTCTGAGGACTTGAATGAAAATGTTTTTGTACTCATAGTTTATTTTTATTATTCCAAACCACTGCTCCCAACCACAGCTGTAGCGCCCGGAGTCATACAGACTCACATTTGTGATCTTCACACTGATGATTTGAGGACTGCAGTGTTTTGTGCTCTGTAGTCTGTATCTGTCGTTCTGGTGGACGTAGCCTGAAGTCTCAATCAGTCTGTTTTCTTTTGTGTTGCAATCGTTTCTACAAAAGACCTTCCAGTTTCCTTCTACATGAAACTCACATTGGACGATGATATCTTCTCCTTCAGTTACATTAAACGTCTGTGATGTGGTGAGTCCGTCCGCAGCACACAGCACTGTTCAACACAAACATCAACACTGCAGTGTTTAGACAAATCAACTGTACAAATACTACGAAATGCTTTTGTATTTATTTTTATATTTGATAATTGGGGTTTATAACATTGTGATGTTTTAATAAACTTTTTCACACAATACTTTCACTGAAATTGTAATTTTTATTACGACTTAAATTATTAGTTTAAATTAAAAGTCAAACATGTGTCAAAATAAAAATTAAGACCAAACCAAAACTAAATAAAGTGAAGTGAGTCTTGTCTTGTGTCTTGTGAAAAGCAGAGCTCGGTTCTCTGGGTTCATGTTGCAGGACACAGACGTGTTCAGAGCTGCAGACGGGTGGATAAATAATAAATATAATTGTTTCATGTCTCTAGTTTTAGTTTTCATTATTTACAGTTTTTTATAATGATTCAAAATTAACAGTCGCTATAAAAGAGATTAAACTTACAGATAAGAGGAGTCAGAAGCAGAGCCATCTTCATCCGGTCTGTCCGTCACACATGAACAATTGAGCATCTTGTGTCAGTTTATACCAACCACAGCGTGTTTCTGTGAGCTCTGCACACGTCAGGCCTTCTTTTCTCACAAACATCTAAACCACAGGTTTCTTGATTACATCTTATCTGTAAATCAAAGCATTACAGTTCAGTGCATTTGAGGCACTTGATATAAAGTTTGGACATACACTGAGCCTAATAAAACTCAGAATACAATCACAGATTTCAACTGCATTTTTCTTTCCTCACTATATTTGTATATTATATATTTACTTATATTTGCACATAGAGGACATGCAGGACCAAACTTTATTTATAAAGCACTTTTCATACACAAAAGTGTCACAAAGTGTTTGACAGTGATTAAAAACAATCCCACATTTCCTTCCAGAATTAGAGGAGAGGTCGTAGCTCAGTTAAAGACGTTAAAACTTGAATTTATTTTCCGTATTGTTAAAGCAGGACAATGACACAGAATTACAGACACAACTCAAATGATCTGGACACAGTAGCTCACACATCACAATATAATAAACGCAAAACAAATATAAATGATAATAATGAATTAAAAAGCAACAATGGCAAAAGATAATAAAGCATAAAAGTGTATATATACAAGGAAAAATCTAATAAATACAAAATATATCTAATCTATATTCAAGATATAACTAATATATGTAATTATTACACAATATAATGTCAAAAACAAATGGACAGTGCTGTTTCCCAGACCTGTGATGTAACATGAACAATACAGATTATACAATTACAAAGCACAAAACGAACTCTCAGAGCTTTTTGTTTGGTGTTGGTTTTTCTGGGTCTTTGTTGCTACATCCAGCAGGGGGCAGTGTGCGCTCAGGGGGCAGTGTGCGCTCAGGGGGCAGTGTGCGCTCAGGGGGCAGTGTGCGCTCAGGGGGCAGTGTGCGCTCAGGGGGCAGTGTGCGCTCAGTCAGATGGAGCTGTAGGTTTGGTTCAGGTCCATGGTGTCCACATGGAGGCTCTGGTAAGTGCTCTCTGTTTATTTTCACATGTAAAAATCAAACATAAACTATTCTTAAATCCTTTAGTTACAAAACATAACACTAAAATGTGCTACCTTTGTTTTGGTGCGTCTTCATTTCTTCACAGGTTTCTTCCTGGTCTGTGAAACAAACAAAAACACAAAGTTAGTCATGAAATGCAGAGGCGGAGCGTGCGCTTCACACCTCGGCCTTCAGTAGTGCTCCGCCTGGAACAATCCACTCCTCAAGAACTATTTTATGATTAAAAAAGCATCTTATTCTACAGAAAGGAGCGCTGGGGTGCTAAACGAGGACTAAATCAGAACTAAACCAGGACTAAACCAGGACTGCTTGTCAGGACTGGCTCGAAGGTGCGCCCATGTAGACTGTCGGGTGACCACAAACAAAAGGACCGCACCGGGGCTGATGCTCTACGCCACACGGGGCTCTTGCTCTCTCTCAAGTCCAAGATTAGTCCTGGTTTAGTCCTGCTTTAGTCCTGGTTTAGACCTGGTTTAGACCTGGTTCAGTCCTGGTTTAGACCTGGTTTAGACCTGGTTCAGTCCTGGTTTAGACCTGGGGTAGTCCTGGTTTAGACCTGGTTCAGTCCTGGTTTAGACCTGGTTTTAGACCTGGTTTAGACCTGGTTTAGACCTGGTTCAGTCCTGGTTTAGACCTGGGTAGTCCTGGTTCAGTCATGGTTTAGGCCTGGTTCAGTCCTGATGTAGTCCTGGTTTAGACCTGGTTTAGTCCTGGTTTAGTCCTGGTTTAGTCCTGGTTTAGACCTGGTGTAGTCCTGGTTTAGACCTGGTTTAGTCCTGGTGTAGTCCTGGTTTAGACCTGGTTTAGTCCTGGTTTAGACCTGGTTTAGTCCTGGTTTAGACCTGGTTTAGTCCTGGTTTAGTCCTGGTTTAGACCTGGTTCAGTCCTGGTTTAGACCTGGTTCAGTCCTGGTTTAGACCTGGTTCAGTCCTGGTTTAGACCTGGTTTAGTCCTGGTTCAGTCCTGGTTTAGACCTGGTTCAGTCCTGGTTTAGACCTGGTTCAGTCCTGGTTTAGACCTGGTTTAGTCCTGGTTCCACTACAGATGCAGTTTGCTGTTTTGTCTGGTTTTCTGTCCAATCACGGGTCTGAATCCAGTGTCGTTCACTGCTAAAGGTCCTGGTGACACCAACTCAAAATCTGAAGCAACAGTTTCATGGACATTTATTTTGTGTCCGAGTTCCTGCAGAACAGATTGTGAAGGCGTCAGGGACACTTCTGTGACTTTGACTCTGCCTGGCAACAAGTGACGTCTGAAATGTGATTGGTCAAATGCTTTAATATGAAACTACATGTGTTGAAGCAACACAAACATCTGAAAAACTCTGAAAGGAAGAGGACAGAATATTTGGAATTATTTAGTAATAATATAATTAACATCAGTCCTGTGATTCAGATATTTTTTTTAGGCCAGCAGAGAAGGACTTGAAGGTCCAATACAGACGCCCCAACACTGAGTGAAATGTTTGTATCATATCATGTCCCCTCACCATTTCGTGTCCTCTTCTTTCTGCAGATCAGGATCAGCGGCACAGACGTCATCAGCACAAACACAGGAGTGAACAACAGCCACAGCAGACGACTGGGACCTGCACGATTGATTTTGGATTTTTAAAAAACTGTACTTATTTGGTTGAGGTTGAGAAACTATAAAGGTGACTCAAGATGGGCCCAGTCAAGCAGAAGTAAACAACAAGGCCAAAAATTCAAGTGAATTCATCTGATATAAAAATGTATTGAACAGATACATATGTACTCTAGTTTATGAAACTGTTCACCTTTTTTCTGTACCATTTTTGGTTCTAAAGTTCCATATGTTTTAAACAGACCATGTATGAAACATGGAACAAAAATTATTTCCCAAATTTCAAAGACCTGAAAATCATGTAAATAAATGGATGTATTTCATCATATCTTGTGTTATTCCATCTTTGAACTGTTGATGAAGGTACATGATAAAAAAAATTTTAAAAAGGATTTAAAATGATAAAAATTTGCTTGGAAGGACTGACATATTTTATAGAAATAGTTTCCTTTCATTTTGAAGTAATATTAAAGTATTCAGAAGAAAAAAAAGTGACAAATGATGTAAAATCCTGCACCTTCTACTTGTTTGTACAATTTTCCCTCCGTTACTTTTCCCTCCGTTACCATGACCTTTCTTAATAAAAAATCTCATGAGTCAAAAAGTAAGAGGTTTTTCAACCTAATCTTGTACCATATGGTAGAAAACTATATGAAGCAAATATTCAAACCAGTTTGTTAAGGATATGTAAGTGAGAACCAAGAGTTATCACTGTTTGGATTTATTGACCAAAAAGTGCTGCATATTTCATTCCCTCCGTTACCGACATGAGTTTTTACATTTTTTGTCAACAACTTGAAAGAATATCACAGGTTTAACTTGACCCTGTCGGAGTTTTAACTCTTTCCTACATTCTGATACTTTACTTATTTCAATAGTTCCTCTAGTTTCTG